TTATGCCTTAATAGGCCAACAAGGGAGAGATAATGGTTGTACGAACTTCTTTTGAATTAAGGCATAATTTAGGTTTAATAGTTCGGATAACTATCGCCTCAGCTGTGTGTTTGTGTGTGCAGTAGACGAATACGAAGTCTACTGAAAAGATTTGGTGGGATAGGATGAATTACTTTGAAAGCTCTCGTTTTCTCCACTACAACATGACCACTATCAATTAAATGTGACAAAATTGAGCTACAAATTGTTTTCGTCTGTCCTTTGCCAAACTACCATGGGAGATGTTCAGGAGTGACATGTTGGCTAAGCTGTCTAGTAAATTGATAAATGCAAATAGATATGGCAAAGCTATCTAGCTATCTATCCTTCGTTTGCGTCCCAATCATTCGTCGGCTAGAGAATAACAAACATAGGTATGCTGCGTAAAACGTTCTCCATATACCCCTGGATAGTCTCTGGAACAAAGTCTGACTAGATAAGTCACCATTAAATTGTAACTTGATAATTAGAGGCTTTATACGTGCAGTCAGAGTCTCAGGTTTTCTCTCTGATTTTTTCATGTTTCTTTATGAAACTACTTGGATAGCCAGCCCATCTTCGTCAGGGAGTCGTGAATATTTTCAAATTCCTTTTGTAAGAGGTCACCCGTACATATCTTTCTTGCTCTGCTCTGAAAACATTTAACAACATTTCTTTTATATTTAATGGGCACGTAACTAAGGAATTGTGTGTATTGCCTTGTGGATGTGTTTTTTCTATACACGCTTCTTCCAAGTGACCCATCTTCTCGCCTACTTAGCAAGACATCCAGAAAATGCAGTTTATTCCCCTGCTCCTCTTCACAAGTAAAGGTAAGCGAAGGGTGGAAGTTGTTGAATTTCAACAACAATTCGTCCATGTTAACATTCTCATCAGCTAAGATAAGTGTATAATCGACATATCAGTAATGTATATCAAACTCCCCGATAATGTCTTTCAATTTACCATTTTCAAGTTTTACGAGAAAGAAGTCAGCGAATATTGGGCCTAATGGTGAACCCATAGCTATTCCATCTACTTGTCGGTAGTATGAATTATTGAAGACAAAGCGATCATTCATTGTGCATTTGAGAAATAATTGTTTGATACTACACAAGGGGATACCTAAGTCCCATTACCTTTCGGTGATTTCTTGACAAATGTAATCTACTATTTCCATAAGCGGTACATTAGTGAATAGTGATGATACATCCATGGATAACATAAGTTTATACCTCACATTCGTCTCGGATATTTTTTTTGCGGACGATATTAAGAAGATATGGTAAAGCTTAAACAGTAACGATGATAGCTTAGTACTACAAAACGATCTAGACAAATTAGCCGAATGGGCTAACCTACTAGAGTCTGGAAATTAATTCCAAGAAAAGCGCAGTAATGCGCCTCTAGGTCAGAAGAAGTCTTACACGACGTACTACTCCATGGCGGACACAGAATTGCCAGATGTTAGGGACGAAAGGACTTAGGAATTATTGTTAGCCATGACTTAAAAATAACAGCAAACTGTAATCGAGCCGCAGCTAAAGCTTTTCGAATGCTATGGGCATTTCGAAGGGCTTTCAAAAAAATTAGACGAGGGTATGTTCCAAGTACTCTATGCAACATATGTCAGGTCTCAAGCGGCGAGTTCGTGCTTCAAAAAGGAGGCACATATCCTGGAAAAAGTACAAAGGGTAGGAACGAAATTAGTTAGTGGCATATCTCACACCTTCATTATGAGATATGAGGATGGAGTATTTAAATTTCTTCCAATTATCATACCGAAGGAGGAGAGGGGACTTAATTTTGGCTTACCGTATATTCAGAGGTGATTTATTTAGGAATTGACCTTTCAAACCCTTTTTCTCTCTCTCTAGGATACATTTACGAGGTCACCACCACAAGAAGGTGCTCAAACCGAGGTCGAATAAAATGTGTGTGGAGTTTAGATCCTCTCACAGAATGGTCAACGACTGGAACTCTTTACCTGTGATACAGTAGTAACAGCTTCATCGATGAACGCTTTCAAAGAGAAACTGGATCTCTGCAGAGATGTATACATAACGAGGATTAACACAGACAACAAGAACCTTCTATCCTGATCATCTGAAACTCAAAAATATTCATCCGCGCCAACTGTTTACTACTACCCACTTCACATACAAGTTATTCCTTATGTTTGTCATTTTGTAGCCAAGCTGGCATACACGCCATTAAATGGAAAGGTATGCTAGGATAGTAGTGAATAGTAATTACTTAACATTGAAATTACCAAAACTGACCAACACCGCCACCACCACACTACCGTTACACGACCTAATCGTTGTGTGGAAGCAAGGTTTGAAGAAGGCTGTGGGCTACATTATGCATGCGCCTCACCCTGATAATATTTACCTCTTTTTACATTGTTTAAGCTATCCGGTCTGGCTTGCCATTCATGGGTTTGCTGCTCTGCATACATCTGGCTTTATATGCTGGACTGCATGTACGCTGGCCTGGTAGACTTGCGCCTGGCTGACAGCCTCAAACCTTCTATGGGAAACCGGTGTGTAGGATTATTGGAGTACAACTTCAAGCGGTGGATCACTCGGCTCATGCTTCGATGAAGAGTGTAGCCAACACCATTATGGGTAGTTTTGCTTTGATAAAGTCTCACAGCGCTGTTATACAGTAATGTTTACTGATGACCACGTTTCGAGAACAATTTATTGCTCATAATCATGTCAAGGCGCTACTTACACAACTTTCTAACTTCATTTATATAGTTCCATTGTTTTTCACTTGATTTGATTGGTAGTGGTATTTTCTATATTTCGAGTATGAGTGATGAATCATTTCTATTGCATGTGTTGGGTGTAGACTCGATGAACAAGGATTCAGTAATCAACCTCTCTCTCCACCTACCAAGATTACTTTATAGAATTTTAACCCTCTTCCACCATGTCGTTGTGTTAATGCATGCATTGCAATTGTTGAGCTATTTTCCAAGTTACTTATCTTCGCGGGTGGGGTCAACTATTCTTACCTTAGCTAAATTCTTATGTTCCGACAATCTGACTACCCCTGACCTACTAGTCTTACCTATGTAGTTGACCTCGCAGTCATTACAGGGTATTTTGTAAATGATATTATTTTGTCTAATTGGGTCAACCGAAAAGGTCCTTTAACCTACAGAGCTTGTTTCTGAGTGAGTTTGTGGGTTTAAATGACACCACCACCCTAATTCCTGCTTTATTTAGAATCCTACGTAGGGAGTGAGTGTCTCAGAGGAAAAGAAACTAATTCCCCTAGTAACTGCGAGTGATGAACAGGGATTAGCCCAGCACCACCGAAGCCTGTGGTTATTTGACCGCAAGGCACTGTGGTGTTTATGTTTGTACTTGGCATTACTGCTCTGCCCCAAGTTCAGCAATGAATACGGCATAACGTTCTGGCCTAAAGAGGGTGAAAGGCCCGTGGAGGTAGAGACCGAGCATGACAGTTTTGTACAGAGCTAACCTTGGAGTCGGGTTGTTTTAGAATGTACATGAGCTGTGTTTGACTTAGCATCACACGATTGTATATAACATACTTATCACATATCACACTTACATCATACGTACACGGGAATATTGATCACAGGATATAATGAAGCCTACTAACTACCACTGCATATGTCAGTCTTTGACATAGAACTTTGCACCGATGTGCATCAGTTCAAGTCGCCACACACCACTCCTTGTACCACACAAAGCAAGAGAAGAAAGTAGAATAAATGCATATTAGAGACAGTAAACATAGGAGGAATAGTAGTAACAAAAGAACAATAATATAGTTTCATTGGAAATCATAAGTCACAAGGAGTGGATCCATCTGAGCCAGCCAGCCATTTAGAACGATCACTTTGAGCCATATCACCAATTAAACAATTGGTCTTTACCGTCCCGAGGACCCCAGCCAGTCAGGAAGCTAGTCTACACCGTCCTACGTGGCTGGCTTTAACGAACTGTTGTGGATTTCATTGACTGGTGAAGCCATGTTTTGGTTTGACCACCACTGGCTAGCTCTTTTCCAGCCTGACCAATCCTATACCAGCTAACATTGTCCATTATCGAGGAAGGCGATGACTAGACATTCATTCGTAACACATGTCCTAACCATCTCGCTCAGTCGATGTAATTTCCCAGTCTCATCGATTGATTTCTCTTCCTACGTACCTAGCACTCGACAGATGCCTAAACTCAATATTGCTCACCTTATTATACCACCACCTGACACGGGAGATAGAACGCAGGCAGGAACCTATGATCAAAGACAGCTAACCAGGCTTTTCATGTTTTCAACTCAATGACCAGGTCTCACAGCTAGCCATAAAGGACGACGGAGCGGACTGATGAGCAGTACACCGCCCTTTGGTCGATAGCCAGTCAGCCGGATATCACGTCTACTAAGCCAGAGACGGCGTAAACTGGCGGGCATATGCGAAACTAGCCCTTTGTATCCGTGCTGAGATTTCGCCAGCACTGGCTGATCGTCTGTCTGGATTCAACATAGAACTTGGCACCGAAGTGCAGCAGTTCGAGTTGCCTGATCGTACTTCCCAAATAAGTGAAGCGGTCAACTTGCTCCACCAACCACTTCACTCCCTATTTCTAAACGACTGCATATACATAAGTAAATCACCTACAGTGTACAAATAGATCACATGTCTACTCAGAAACTAATAAAACGAAACAACGATGAGTTGACAGTAACTGACTGAGCGACTGAGGTTAGGATCATGTCAGGCTGGTTGAAGTAAGTGGCTCGTAGCTTTCAATATATATTCAAGGAATTCACCTACGTGTAGTTTAACTAATACAAGTAATTTTCTAAAATACACACACGCACAAACCACAAACTGCCGCCCTAGAAAAAGTCTCCACGCTCTGCAGTACAACATTACGACACGAGCAACAACAACAAAGCTTAAACATAAAATTTCAACAAAAAAGGTCACAAAATGTAACCACAACAATGTATTAATCAAGCAGTATAATGAATGAATGTACAGATTTTAGGGAAGGGGTCCTAATCATAAATTTTTTTTAAAAAAACAACGTAATAAATTGTTCTCATCACCAAAAAAACACGAAAAACAACAACAACAACACTTTTTTACAGTTCGTCGTGGTCTTTAGAAGCATCACCCTCTGTCTTATCTCCAGCATTCCCTGCTTCTTCCTTGATATCTTCTTCTGCGGGAGCTTTAGTCTTTTCAGCTTCTTCCTTGATATCTTCTTCTGCGGGAGCTTTAGTCTTTTCAGCTTCTGCCTCTTTCTCAGCAGCCTGATCTTTAGCTACTTCAGCATCAAAACGTTTCCTCCAGCGTTGTTCCCCTTCTTGTTTAGCTAGCTCTTCACTATCGGTTATCAAGATATTGTCAAAAATAGACCCTGAATCAACTTGCCACAAGTCGAAACCAACATAACCAATATCATCTTGAACATATAATTCAGGATCTGGTTTATAGTCAGGATTATCGATTTGTGCAGGTTTCCATTCCCCTTTGTATTTTGGATTAGCGATACGTCGAGGGCTCCATTCACCTTTATAATCAGGATTATTTTTCTCGGGTCGTTGCCATTCCCCATCCATATCATCATCCCAGTCCTCCGGTTTTTTAACATCCATATCGGGTATCATTTTGGGTTGATCCCAATCGTCTGGCTTCTTGTCATCTGGATCATCGATATACTCTTCATCAACCCAATCGGCGGGCTTTTTGTCATTTGGATCCTAAGTAGTCAATAATAATAATAATAATAAGTCAAAAAATCTGAACGTACATCGATTTTTTTGGGTTGAAGCATATTCCAATCGTCTTCCAGTGAACCCTTTTCCACGCTGTCATTGTCAACCAACACCTCGTAGGTATTATCAGGTTTTACGATAAGTGTATAAAGATGAGTCTTCAAGTCATCTCTGCAAGCGATATCTTTCTTAATGAGATGATTTTGGCCTTTGTAGTTGAAAATGACATGAATTCTTTTGGTAGCCATGCCACAGATATCAGGACCTATATAAAAAATTTTAAAAAAATCAAGATTTAGTCACCACCACATCTTACCGAACATAATTTTGTATGGAGTCTCCCCATGGAAAGTTTTCGGATCAATATCAGAACCAAGAAGTTTAATGTAAGCTCCACCACAACTGACAGTTTTGTCAAATTTGACGGTGAATTGTACAACAAGAGTTGTGCCACGATTGCTAAATGGCTTCTCCAGTTTTCGTGCAATGCCATAAAATCTAGCATCCTGAGTAGTTTTCAAACCTAAACCCTCAATTGGATCTATAGGTGATGAGCCTGCTTCTATTTTAAATTCCCCTTGTTTATCACCATTATGTGTTGATGCAACCCATTTGTTTATGGAATCCGCTGAAATAGTCAATAATAGTTAGTAAATTAGAACATTGTCATACCATCAGGAAATGTTTCAGTGAACCACACTTCGTGGCCAAAGACACAATTCAACAGTAGGACAGGAAACAGCAACAAGAACATTAGGAAACCCAGAAACCACTGATTTAGATTGAAACGGGAGGCAAGGTATATATATATATATATGGAGATGCTGACCAATCACGCAGCTCCACAAAAATGCTACCTAACAAATTTGCGACATTTAAACAAATTATGATGCACTCTGAATATTTTTGTATAAGTATACAAGTTTTCTCAATTAAAAGCTTAACCATGTCTCAAAAACCTCACTTTGAGATATTTATCAGAGTTGTCTTAACGTCTGCATGGATTCCAATATCCAATATCGTTTATGCGAGCTAGCATAAATCAATTTGATTTCTTTGTGCTCGCCTCATGATTGCGAGGTATAGGTTCCTGATCTTTGGTAAACTTCTGCATAGCTTGTCCCGCCATTTGAGTGTTGTCGCTTTAGTTGACTCCAAAAGGAGTAGTGCTGGGATTAATTATGTGTGGTTTGTAGTATGAGGTATATTAAGACTGTTACTACTGTGAATGGAGTTGATCCTTTCACCAGTTAGTCCTCCGGTATCGTCATCAAAAGAGAAGAGATAATAATAACAAAATAATGGGTTATTCTCATCCAATTAACCAAATGAATAAATAATTCTAAATACGTGAGGTCAAAGTGTTAATACTTTCTAGGACTTATAATATTCGTGTAACACCTAGAAGTTCTCTTTGAAGTGTGCAAGTATTCGATTATTGATGTCGCGCTAATGAGAGTGACTAAAAGATATTACATGTGATGAGATATGCAAATTTTAGTTATGTCTGTTGTGAAAAGTTTGGCCGTAAACATTTTTCTGTTGTTATACCCATTTTTACAGATGCACTTACGGTTACTATGGGAAACATAACTAGATCAAAGGTTTAGAAGGCGACCTTAGTAATGCACCGTGGCACAGATCAGCCAGATTCTCGGACAAAAAATTTATTCACAGAATGCTTTTGTTTTATTCAGCAGCCACATGGACTTCAGTTCTGTGTGAGAAAGTGGACTTCCCATCATATAGCCTAGACGGCCAGGCATTTTGGAGAGGAAGAATAATATGTGCACCTCACTAGTGACTGTAGAATCCAATTTTTTAACCTCTCATCGGAGATGAAACTGACATCCTTGTTTGTTGAATTTAGTTTACTTAACATCACCAAACTTATCTAAGAGCCTAATGATATCAACAAGGTTATAGCTAAGTGACGACACCTGAATCTCAAAATAAAGTGAAGATTTGTTGCATGATCAGCGCCACATTTCCGAATGACTGGTTAGCTGGATGAGTTTCAGGTTAGTCCGTCTTTGGCATCTACTTCAAAAGGTATCAATGTACCATCCAAACTTACTTCATTAATTTCCAGATCTGAATGACTCCTGCAATTGCCCGTAAGGCTCGCCGATTGTCCGAACTGCATGCAGGAACTAACTGCCTTGATGTGAGAGTTAGAAAGTTAGATTTCGCCCGTTTAGCTGAGTACTGTGAGTGCCCACAGCAATTTCAGTGTGATGAGCCCGTGTCTCACTTTGCAAGACATTCATGACTGGCTTTTACATTCAAATCAACCCTAAGTGCAACTGAAATGATACTGCCCATCTGCTAGATACTCTTATCCCTGACGGCTGATGTCTGCTGTTGTCGGTAGGTTGTATCCATCACCTCTGTTTTCTCTATATTCACAGGGAGACCTTTACTTGCTGACTGTTTGGACCTTTTGGTTTCTATTTTTTGTATCTTCACACGGAAAATCCAGATCTTCTGTGATGTTTCGTTCGTTTACGTCACGTCCGCCTTCTTGCTCCCTGGGGTTTGCCAATTGACCTGGCTCACAGAGGTCATGATGTTGAACGGTTATGGTTGGAAGCCCTGTCTTATGACCCTCTTCACTTCATTGAGCTTTCCCTGCTAAATAATAGACATGTGGCATCATCGTGTAGCTGCCAAATAAAGTTTATTGATGCTTGCGATACTTATCCATTACCAGTGAAGCCGTTTCCGAATTAATTTTCGGTCAACACTGCTGTAGACCCTATATTTTTTTCAGGATGATGAGACCTTAGGTCCTGCCTAGGCCGCATAGGACCGTCATTCATCTGCAATTTTAAGATAGTTTTGGGTGGCCGTTCTTTGACACTTTCACTGGTAACCTATCTTCCTATGGGCATGCATCTTTACTTCCCTCCACTCCTGCATTGATGAGTTCAGCATTTTCGCATAATTCGCTGGGTCAGCTTTCACATTTCGCCCCTCGTAGAGTCACACCGAGTCCTACTGTTTTCCCGGATTTTCGTGACTTCATGTTCTTAACGGCTTCGGTTTTGATCGAAGGTTTGGTACTTTTGTGGCAGCTGGTTTTGTTTCTAGGTGTCCCGCAGGTGGTGATCAATACAGGAGTCCACTAAAGTGACTGGTGCAGCACCTCCTCTGTTCCACATTTTTTGTACTCGAGTTTCCTCCGCTATCATCCAAGTCCATTTAGTCCCCCATGACAGCCATTTTGGTGCCTTCCTGTTTGTGCCCATGTTGATGCTCATCTCTGAACTGCCTCTTTCCGACTCAGTCCTATTTCAGCCTTCCCTAGTCGGCGATTCTTCGTCTGCCCACTCGTTTCGTCTCAGGAGTGTCCCTCGGCCTTTTATTATGTTACTTTCACAGAGTGACAGAAATCCTCGATGTGAACTTCTTCAACGCTGCCCTTTCATATCTGGGATGTTGACTGAAGTAGATTTGTCACTTGTAGCTTTGCTTGCCAGTTTCTTAATGTTGAACCTCGGTTGCGATGAATCTCCAGCCCTCACCTGCTGGACCTAGAATCCGACACTAAACTAGACAACTAGTAACCACATTCCTTTTTACTCACTGAAAAAGCATAATGACACAATCTGATGGAGCATGGTGTCTCTTACTATGGTGCATGGGAAGTGTGAGGCTACAGTGAGTGAGCTATGTTATCAGGTTGCGGAGATGTGAAGGGCAAGTGATTATGCAGCAAGCATTGGGCTTCCGTCTAGGTGGAGCCCACGGGGAGTTTTATTCATCTGGAGACATCTGAGGTGGGAAATACTACAAAACTATAAATTTCCATGCAAGTGAATATTGAACATTGTCCCATTGGCCATAGAAGAGATAGATGCGCAACTCGAAAACGCGAGAAGGTCGACCGTGTAAAAGTCCAAAGAAGACGAAAGAAAACGAAGAAAAGTAGTCCAAATATTCTACAAAACGTGCGCATAGAGACTATGAAAGAAACCTCGATTTTAATTGCCAAATAATACAACTTCCTTCCTACAACCACCGGTGTTTGGAGCTAAAGTTGAGAATCAGTTGTAGTAATTATCGGTTCGGAGCGTCTTCGTAACAATAGGAACTCCGAGTTAAGTTCCTTGATAACAACCCATCAAGGAAGCCACCATGACTTCAGAGGAGGAGGATATGTTTTTCTTGGCCAGCATATGTGCACTAGAGATAGCCTCTGACAATATATCTTCCAGCGTGGCTAGGGCTCTAGACATTTTCTTCACATGAGAACGAGCAGAAAATCTTCAGACAGCTAATACCAAGTTATCATGGTTATACATCAGGGCCTTTATTAGTTCTAGGATAATTAGGTCAAGACTCAGTCACACATACTTCGTCATTAAAACAGTATTTTAGGGATAACGTGAGTTGTTTTCACAACCCTAGTCACCTATTCATAATCAACCTTGAATTGAAATGAAAAATTTTTCTTCCAATGTTTTTGCATCTATCCCTGATAATATTGTTCTATGAGTATTTCAGTATGCTATGGTTCAATCTCATGCTCCAGATGCAAATCAACTGCAGACGACTAGTAATAAAATATCTATGGAACCTGCCTAATGCTATACGTAAGCACTGTCTAGCTCTACGCAGATTAATGCCCAAGTGGTGGTTGTCTAAATAATCAAATAAACGGCGAGTTTTAAATAGTAATGAATCCTATCTTACCATTCTATTACTATAATTCAGTGTATTCAAATTTTCCAGAACAACATACCTTTTTGCAGATGATCTCAAGATAGTATATGATTATGGGTACGGTGATATGAGCGTCGAAAGCAAGATCCAACAAGACTTAAATGATCTAGGCGATTGGAGCGAAAAGTGGCAACTGACTTTCAACCCAGACAAGTGCGGTATAACCCACCTTGGACGCTGGAAACCGATAATGTGCCTATATATGTACGGTAAGCTCCTCTCAAAACTGAACACAGTCACAGACCTCGGGATAACATACTCAGATTTATCCTTTTCCGATCATGCAAATAAGGTTGTATCTGACTGTAAACGACTTACTGGCTTTGTACTGCGTAACTTCTACACCCAAGAAGCAAGATTAGCTATATATAGGACATGTATCCGTCCCAAACTTGAATATTGTGCTCTCCTATTTAGTAACCTCAGGACTGTAGACAGAAAAAAAATCGAAAGTGTCCAGAGATTCCTCACGAAACGCATAATAGGGTTCGACCAACAAGTGGAATATGTTGACAGGTGTGTACGTCTGAAATTAGAGCCTCTGTGGTTAAGGAGAGTGAAGTGCAACCTATTTCTACTCTTCAAAGTCATTAGGAAACACTGCTACAGTAACTCATCCATAACTTGGGAAAATATTAAATCATATCAGCTGCGAAACCACGACTACCTTGTCAAGGTGGCTACCCACAGAAAATCCATTAGGGCAAACTTTTTCACCATAAAATATTGCACTCTTTGGAACCAACTACCACCTGAAATAAGATGTTGTGAAAACCCTGATGGGTTCAAACGGAGCCTAGAAAGACACTTTAACATGTCCACCCTAGCTCGTCTAAAAGACCACAACTGTTGGTAGAACGGAAATTGAAGGCCAGTCCAGTCTTCAGTATAGTCACATACGTATATCTCGACTCTAATACTCACGCAGCGAACGTTAACTAATTTACTGATTTCTATTCTCTATAATTTTCACTAAGTTGTGTTGGTAAAAGTAACACTGGAAATAATTGTAATAGCATCCACACCTTTTAACGTTTTACATATGTATATACTAATATAATAATACTTATTAATCATGCATGTTCAACTCTTAAATTAGATGGATATTAAAATACTTAAAATATTTATGCATCAAATGTTC